ATGTACTCTGTGAATGACTCTCTCACCCAAGAACCTCTGCATGGTGGACTCGCTTGTCACCAAGTCCCCGTGGACCTCCGGGAGGCTGGAGATGAGAGCTCTGGTCTCGCTGCTGTCAGTGAAGCCCCCCAAAACACACGTCTTTACAATAGACTCTCCTCCGTCACCTCCTGAACACCCATTCTCTGTCTCCGATAAGGCCATTCTGCCAGACTACAACCACAACGAGTGTCTTTGTTGCAGACGCCAACGCCAACGTTTGTTGTTATAAGTTACGGTGCAGTTAACGTTAGCTAGCTAATGTTAGCATTCATGCCTAGCTAAAGGATGGAGGTGAAAATATCTTACGAAACTATGGAATTATTAAACAGGTGCGACACAGACTTAGCGGAGGTATTAACGTGTAAAATAACTGCGCGAAAACTGAAATAAATATCACTATATAAAGCCAAGGCATTAGTCTTTACAGTTTATATGCTGTGATGCAGCTTGCAGTTGCTTTTGTGTCGCGCCCTGCCCCAGTACGGTAAGCGAGAAGGTACAGACTTATCTCAGGTCACGATAGCTCAGTCATAAAAGCGCTTCTGTTTCTGAGAGGAAATAAAATTAGTTTGTTTTATGTTTATTAACATTTACCAGTGGTGGAAAGTAACTATGTACCTAACTATTTTTATTTTATGCTACTTTATACATCTACTCCAGGGAGAAATGATTATTGTAAATATTGTATTTATTTGACAGCTATAAATACTAGTTAGTTTTCAGATTAAGGTGTTAAAAACATGTTAATACATCAAGAATGGGCCAGTAATGTAATATTATAATGCTAAGAGGGCCTGTTCTGCTTTGCTTTTTGATAAGGCTACATTTTTCTGATAATAGCTGTGTGCTTTTATTTCAGTGAAAATGAATGCAGGACTTTTACTTGTAGTTAAGTATTTATGTAGTGTGACATCAAACTATTTTTAGTATAGTACAGTGGTAATTAATTTTGGTCCTTATTAACATCCTTATTATCCTAATTATTTTTTAAAAGGAATGCATATCATGAAGAATAAATAGCAACAACGCATTCAATTAAAAGGAAAAACAAAAGGAAAACATTAAAAAATTGATCAAAAAGTTGTGAGCTGAAGGTTAAGCTTACTATACCTACCCTTTTTACTTAGCGTATTCTCGTATGTAATTCATTTTTTAAAAATAAAATAAAATACCAAAAAAAATAAATTAACTTAAATTAAATTAAATTGAATTAAAATAAATTAAAATCAAAAATAAGGAAACAATACCAACATTCCAAAGCATTTCATACGCAGCAATAATTATACCTCGGTTTTACATTTCTGCACCACCTCATTTTTTTTAAATATATTTAGTGATTTATCGATTGATTGATTTGACTGTTTTAATTCCCTGTCCCAACCATTCCACAAGTTAACCCCTTTGACAGATACATTCCTTGTTTGCCTTTACTAACAGCACTGTGAATGGTTCAGTGATGCAGCCTGTATTGTCAGTATGTCAGACAAATTCATATGATCATGATTTTCTACCTGGAAGAAAAACTTAAAACATAAAACTTCTTAAGTCTATGGGTGCATCAAAACCTGGGCTATACAAGCTCTGGGTATGTTCAATTTAATTGCAAATAGAAGAGTATAAAATGAAAATATACATACAACATTATAATGCACATATAAGCAAAGTAGCAACACAAATTAATGTAAGACAGCTAGGTTTATACATGTATGTTTATTTTACTAAGTTGCATGTGAGTGCTGGGATGCAAGGTGCACAACAGCCTGGGAGAAGAAGCTGGTGTTCATTCTTGTGGCAGGAGGTCAAACAATCAGTAAGAGGGGTGGAGAGTTCTTCATGATGATGGAGGTCTTAGTCGCATTCACTGCAGTGCTCATACCAGGCTACAAATGCAGCATTGCAGGACAGTCATTTCACTTCATCCTAGGCTTTACTGTTGGCTAAGCAGCGGGTATTAAGTATTGCATGAATTAATTAAAACACAACAACATTTTGTCAGTGTATGTAGTGTTTCAGTCTGCTGGACATCAATAGTTTGATGCAAAGGAAGTGACTGTGAGTGCAATTATTTCAGCAGTTTCTTCATAACACTTATTGAAGGGCGCCTGTATTCATCGCCAAAGTGGTTCCAGTGATTTAGATAGTTAAAGAGTTGGTAAAGCTGGTTTCTCTGTGCAAAGCCTGGTGCTTTAGGAATCTTTTCATGGTAAGCAGAGTAAAAAGCACTGTTGAAGCCACCAAACATTCCAGCAATACCCAGCTCAAATTCTGAATGACCATAGAAAGAGGATGGGTCAAAGATGACTGGGCCGTCTGCACACTGTGCCACGTTGCCTCCCCATAAGTCTCCATGCAGGAGAGCAGGGACAACCTCTATATCTTTGAAGAACAGAGGCATTTTCAGCTGTAAATGACAGAAACATTATGAGTCAGATTACTGATACAATAATAAGGATGTGTGTAAAGTATATTCGATGGCGCCAAAGGGAAGGTGCACCTGCAGCTTGGCCCATAACTCTCTGGCCTCTCTGTCTCCATAGGATTTCTCCACCATGTTGAGCTGGTGCTGCAGTCTCTGCTGTGAGAAGAATGTCACCCAGTCATCTTGCCACTCGTTGTTCTGAGGAGGTGAGGGGAGTGAAAATCATGCTTAGAGACTACAATACAGTATTATACAGATGCAATATTCATATACTTACCTGTGGAAAAAATCCATAGCATGTAGCTACACTGAAGCCAAACTTCTCAACAACAGCCACATCTGACTGTCCAGCTCCTTTTCCTGTACAGTCATATTGTAGTTATAGTCCATCTTAATCAATCAGCAGTAAACTCTCATCTAAATGTCTAGAGAGTGAAAGATGTTTTCTGCACATTTGTCTGTATTTGCATGTGAGGTTAAAGTGAATTACCCACTGTCTGCTGCTCTTTATTTAATTTTTCTAGCTGTCTCTTGTTGAGAAGATGCATGTCTGCCAGCTGCTCTCCGAGGTGCTTTGAGTACCTGCACATTGGATATGGAATTAAAGTATTTTATAAAAACAGAAGAAGAAGAACAACAACAACAAACTTTTGACTATTATTTGCCCTCCATGCTACTGGTACAGCATGAAAAACACACTGTATGAGAGAGCTCTTACTTGCTCAGACCTCTCATGTCCAGATGTTCCATCACAAGTACACATCCTCCTGTGTCAAGCTCAATCACCTTCACAGGCTTGGGGACTTTAACAGTTTCTGTCTTTAAAATGGCTTCCAAACTGGCCATCTCCCCATCAAACATCAATTTGGCCTGAATAAAACAAAATAAATCATGTGAAAACGAAATGTAAAAAAGTAAAAAGTAAGGATTTGGGCTGGTAGGCAAAGCAACAGCACAGATCTACACTCGTTGGCATGTACTTACTATGAAATTAAATCCGTCTCCATTTCGCAACGTGTGCACAAAGTTCAGTAGCAATCAAAACTACTGAGCTTTCAGAGGGTGCAGCTTGCAGCCATATAAAAAGCCACTCACTGTCACTATATTGAATTTAAATATTAAAAAAACAATGATTAAATACCTCGCTCTTGTAATTTATCTTCACAAACACCCTCCCATGGTCAGTATCATAACTCTGACCCTCGCAAATGTATCCACCTCCTGCATGACCACATGACTCCAGCATGGATGTCCCCAACTCTTTCTTTAACTTCGATTCCATTGTTATTTCCCCAAAAACCAATTCTGGTGAAACTGTAGTGGTGCTAATACCAACTGCGCGGTGTCCCAGGCTGCACCCAAACCTCCACCATCTGGACCTGCGGACCTACCCTCGCAGTACTGTGACGTGTTCACCGTCATCACGTAAAATCTGCAGCGCTCCAGACTGTTTTACTCGTTGCCATGGAAACGTTCGAGCGACGATTACAGTTATTTACATGGTGGTCGCTGCCGTTATATTATGTCTGCGCATCTGTCCCTGCAGATAATGTGAGTGAAATACATATCTGTGCAACATATAGGCTGCAGACATCCAAATACAGAGATGTTTGTAAGTACTGCTATGACTAAATAAATAGGGTGGGCCTTGTGGTTACATCAGAAGATATGCTTTTGATGTTTTTCGGCCATTTTCTATATATTTGGCATTACACTGCACAACCTATATCTGCAATATACAATGCATTTTGATTACCATCTATAGCCTATAGAGGTTATTAGGCTGCAGAAACTATTTTGCTTTTTTTTTTTTTGGGTCGTTTTTTTTAATAACGTCACGTCCGTATTGCAATGAATTGTGGGTTATTAAATCAGTGAAGTCGGCTGTAGTCTGCACCCCAAGCAGACTTTCTGGAACTTTACAGAAGGTCAGCCTTTGGCACTATGAGGACTGGATGACGTGTAGATTTGGACAGCCCGCAGCACACCCACACTTCCCAGGACGGCACCCTTGTTTCTAACGGGACTCTTTTTATTTTTAGGATAATATAGTGGTAGTTTATTGTAATTTATTTATTATTTCTGCACTACATTGTTTTATTTTTATTTTTTTAATTTACAGAGTGGTCAACAGTTTTATTTCCCTGTCACAACCATTCCAAAAGTTAACCCCTTTGACGTATACATAACTATTCCTTAAGTCTGTCCTAACCCTTGTTTCTTCAAATTATTAACCATTTCACATAAGTAAATAGATTGAATACTTACTTCTTCCACCACATACCAGTTGTTATTATTCATATGGTTCAGTGACGCAGCCTATAATGTCAGTTAAATGCATATAAGATTGTGATTTTCTTCCTAAAAAAACATTTAAAGTATGACAAAACGAATAAAACTTCTTAAGTCTATGGGTGCACCAAAATCAGAGAAAAACAAGCTCTGAGCATGTTCAAATGAACTGCAAATAGTAGAGTATAAAATGAAAATATACATACAACATAATAATGCATATATGAATGCAAATGCAAGACAGCCAGGTTTATATCTGTCTGTTTATTTTGCTAAGTTGCATACGAGTGCTGGGATGCAAGGTGCACAACAGCCTGGGAGAAGCGGCTACTGCAGGAGGCCAAACAATCAGTAAGAGGGGTGGAGAGTTCCTCATGATGATGGAGGTCTTACAGTCACATTCAGTGCAGTGCTCATACCAGGCTACAAATGCAGCATTGCAGGACAAATATTTCACTTCATCCTAGGCTTTACTGTTGGCTAAGCAGCAGGTATTAAAAATTGCAAGGATTCACATTTTGTCAGTGTATGCAGTGTTTCAGTCTGCTGGACATCAATAGTCAGGCTGTTATTCTGTAGAATAAAATATTGCATTCACTAGGAAAAATTAAATATTGTTTGCACAGCTGTACGATTCAGTCGGGTGCTGGTTGAATGCAGGCAATGAAAAATAATAAAACATTAAGAAAGGTTTCACAGCATAGCACAGCAAATCCTAAGTTGGTCCAGAGCTCAGTTTTTTTGGTGTAAGGTAAGCCTCTTTTTCAAACAGTATTGCATGTTAAGGTTTACTTTTGGCAACCTGCAAGTCAGCATAGAAAATACTGAATTTAACAATACTTAGATAAATATAACCTTGTGCAAACATACAATTTACGATAGTTACTGAGAGATGTGGATTCTGTTTATCACATTTTGAAACCAGGTTGGTTTAGGTGGAGCAGACAGGGCAGAATTACTTTGTTCTGTTAATTCTGTATTGTCTACACAATATGCAAGACATTACAATGTTAGAATGTTATGATTTGTCTATTCAAATATTAGCCACACTATTATTAAGACAAATTAGAGTCTGTCAATATATACATAAAACTTGGTTCAAGTTTAAGACTCTGAAGCTTCCACAAGTGACTGTGAGTGCAGTTATTTCAGTAGACTCTTCATAATGCTTACTGACGAACCCCTGTAACCACCGCCAAAGTGGTTCCAATGATTCAGATAGTGATAGAGCTGGTAAAGCTGGTTTCTCTGTGCAAAGCCTGGTGCTTTAGGAATCTTTTCATGGTAAGCAGAGTAAAAAGCACTGTTGAAGCCACCAAACATTCCAGCAATACCCAGCTCGTATTCTGAATGACCATAGAAAGAGGATGGGTCAAAGATGACTGGGACATCTGCACACTGTGCCACGTTGCCTCCCCATAAGTCTCCATGCAGGAGAGCAGGGACAACCTCTATATCTTTGAAGAACTGAGGCATTTTCAGCTGTAAATGACAGAAACACTATGAGTCAGATTACTGAAACTGTAATAAGGATGCATGAAAAGTGAATTTGAGGGAAGGTGAACCTGTAGCTTGGCCCATAACTCTCTGGCCTCTCTGTCTCCATAGGATTTCTCCACCATGTTGAGCTGGTGCTGCAGTCTCTGCTGTGAGAAGAATGTCACCCAGTCATCCTGCCACTCGTTGTTCTGAGGAGGTGAGGGGGAAAAATGAAAGCTACAGTGATATTTCTAAGGGCAACTGTAACATCTCAACAACCTTAAGGCCACATACACATTTTTACCTGTGGTAGATATCCACAGCATGTAGTTACACTGAAGCCAAACTTCTCAACAACAGCCACATCTGACTGTCCAGCTCCTTTTCCTGTGTACATTTAATAGGTTATGCAGAATATCTTTATCAATCAGCAGTAAACTCTCATCTAAATTTTGAGAGCTAACTGTTATTCAGTGTAACAATGGCAAGTCATGGCAAGGTGAATTACCCACTGTCTGCTGCTCTTTATTTAATTTTTCTAGCTGTCTCTTGTTGTGAAGATGCATGTCTGCCAGCTGCTCTCCGAGGTGCTTCGAGTACCTGCACATTGGATATGGAATTAAAGTATTTCATTAAAAAAAGAGCAAACTTCCTACAATGATTTCACATTGCCCTCCATGCTACTGGTACAGCATGAAAAACACACTGTATGAGAGAGCTCTTACTTGCTCAGACCTCTCATGTCCAGATGTTCCATCACAAGTACACATCCTCCTGTGTCAAGCTCAATCACCTTCACAGGCTTGGGGACTTTAACAGTTTCTGTCTGTAAAATGGCTTCCAAACTGGCCATCTCCCCATCAAACATCAATTTGGCCTGAATAGAAAATAAATGAATAAATAAATAAATAAATAAAAGGATTTGGGCTGGTAAGCAATGCAGTAACACAGATCTAACGTTACACTAGTTTGCATGTGCTTACTACGCAGTTAGATACGTCTCCATTTTGCAACGTGTGCACGAAGTTCAGTGGCAATCAAATACTGTGTGGCTTTCAGAGGGTGTAGCTCGGGGGCATGTATAGCCGGCTATGACACAAGTAACTGTCACTATAATGAATTAAAATATAACACAATAATGATTAAATACCTCGCTCTTGTGATTTATCTTCACAAACACTCTCCCATGGTCAGTATCATAACTCTGGCCCTCGTTGATGCATCCACCTCCTGAGTGACCAGTGGACTTCAGCATGGATGTCCCCAACTCTTTCTTTAATTTAGCTTCCATGGTTATTTCCCAAAACCAATTTTAGTGGAGCTGTAGTGGTGCTACTATCAACAGCGCGGTGCAACCGCACTCACAGAAGTTAAAGGGGCGTTTTCGACGTGTTTTTGGTGTGTTTCCGTCGTCTGAACTAATGGGACACTGCTCCTCTGCTCTGGACGTTCGACTTGTTTTTCTTCCGGTATTTGCATGGAATGGTAACCAATCAGAAACAAGCAATTGACTGATTTCTTCTTCGTCCTATCACAGAGACTTATCGCGGTCACGTGAGCGTCGCCATGGTGTCAGATAAAGCTACATGAACTACGTGCTAGCTCAGGCTTTGCTATGTCTGTGCTTGAAAACCGAGATGAGCAGCAATGAAATTTGTTTGCTTCTTGGAGCGACTGGTGTCGGAAAAACGTTGCTGCTGAAACGTCTACAAAATATCCTTTATACCCGACTGAATGTAGTATTAATTAATTAAAGTAGTATTAATTTGTTACTGTATGTCAACGTGTTGTGTAGCTAACGTAGCTATAGCTAGCTAGCTGACGATAGCCTAGTGTAGAACCGTTAGTAGTGACCTAAGTCACAATTCGCTATAGCTAGTTAATTATAAACATAAAGACGGGCTACACACTATAGGAAACCCATATAAGGTGTCTCTCACATGTGTGTTTAATTGTGTTGAGATTTGGTGGTTGAAAAGGCCATAGCATATGATTTAACGTTATGTTATTTTCATACTCATGAAACCATTACGTGACCCCTCATCTCCATAAAAGGGGGCATTGCCATCCTGGATGAGACCACTAATTTATTTTCCTTTAAGTTGTCACCCGTCTGTCTATCCATTTTTCCATATTTTTATTAAAATGATCTTTCTCTACTCATATTAGTTGATACCTTCAGGTAAATTTGCATCAGTTTGAGTGCATACTCAGTTACTAAACACTTTGTAGACATGCATCCAAGGTAAATAAGTGACATGGTATGGAGGAAAATAAATTAGAAAATAAATTATATACCCTTATAAAAAGGATTACTACAAAATGCCACTTTCACAACTTATGGAATATATCATGGAAGCTGTTCAAATAATATTTTGAACTGCTTTTGTGCCTTTAAATTGTGATAACAGTCACAGCACTGGCTGCTAAGGATATTTTTCCTAACAAGTTTAATTTACAGCTCAGTTTGCATGGATTAGGTGAACTGGGGGGACCTCCTTCTACTCTGCCTACTGTAAGTAATATTGAACAGGGTATCCGCGGGGTCTTAAAAAGTCTAAAAAAGTCTTAAATCCAATAATTTGAATTTAAGGCCTTAAAATGTCTAAAATTCTAATAAAAATCTCATAAAAGGTCTTAAATACGATTTTGAAAGGTCTTAAAAATCTATTGACGTTACTTTTATTTAAAACATGCATAAACTTCAGTCTCGCTTTGAAATGTTTCGATTTTTGAGGACGCTATAACGTAACTACAAAGAGGAACTGAAGTAGGCTACCTGTGCTGCCCGATAAGAATTTATAGAATTTATCGATGTGAAATGGGTCTTAAATTGTATTCATTATGGTCTTAAAAAGTCTTAAAAAGTCTTAAATTTGACTTGTTGAAACCTGCAGAGACCCTGTTGAAAGGTAGTTTTAATACGTTTACAGGCTCAGATTTGATGAGACAGTAGACGTCCATGTAATGCCCTCACTCTCCTTAAACCTCCTCAGGTAGGGACCAACCTGACAGACCTGACACTGAAGAAGAAGAAGAAGGTGACATTAAGAGAGCTGGGAGGCTGCATGGGCCCTATATGGCCGAGTTACTTCAAAGACTGCTCCTCTGTCATTGTATGTTTTTGTATACATGCTGCAACATTTGACAGAATTAAATGAATTGACTGTTGCAATCACTTGAATAAATGTGTCGTTCTTTGTGTTTTGTTATAGTTCATGGTGGACTCAGCCAACATTGCTCAGATATCCTCCTCCTGTGTCCAGCTGCTGTCAGTACTTTCTGCTGAGCCTCTGCAAAGTGCCTCTGTGCTTATTCTGTTCAACAAGAGGTGACTCTCACATACACACCAATCACAATATTCGCTTGCCATACCTGCGAGATGTCAGTCAGCATGTTCAATACAAAAAATATCCGATATCATAATTTTGTCTCGTTGAAAGCTGTTACCATTGTGTATTTTCTTTTTTTTTTCTCCAGTGACTTGCCTTGCACTATGAGTCTCGTAGAGATGAAGTCCCTGTTCAGAATGGATGACATCATTGCATCTGCGCCTCAGCCAATCACAACAATGGAAATCAGTGCCCGCTCTGGACAGGGACTTCAGGAGGTGCTGAGCTGGCTGGAGTCCATCATAGTCAAGTGAACTATTGTATGTTTGTTCCCTGTAACGTGATGCTACTCTCACAGGACTTGGGAATCTCACAGGCAAGCCTGTTGCCAAGAGATGTCAGTATCCTCAGTGTGCAAAGACTGTTAACACACAATTTTAAAGATGTGTTTGATGCTGGACTCACTGAAAAACTGTTGGTGTATCTTTGGTACCAAATAACAATGGTGACTGACTGTTTGTAAGGGTGAATGAGGTAGGAGATGTTTTAGTGGGATGATGGCAAGATGGAATGATTGTGTGGTTGACCTTTTCACATTTGTTAAATCGACACTACTGTAGGTCTTACCTTCAGTTAACAACTATTTATACTGGTCACTTTTACCAATCAGATTCTGCACACATAAACAGTGAACTACTGAGATCCATGATGATCCTCATGTGCAAGAAGTAGAGGGGGTAGAAAGCAGGGAAGTGGCCATTTTAAGTCGTAGGACACTTTACTGTGTTTGAAATGATACAAAGATGGTCTCTTGCTTCATTTTAAAATAAAATAAGCCCTTGAACATCAGTTTAAAGACAAGTGGGAGGAATACGTTAGAAGAGCTTGGCTCGTCAAGAGTCATTACTGTAGGTGATTCAGCATAGTGGTTATGAGTCACTACCACCAGGGGGCATAAAAGACAAATTCTATGATGGATACTGGGTGTGTGCATGAGTTGCAATGATTTCATGTCCCTGATATGTATTGATTTCAGGAAATGAGAACATACAAAACAATAAAACCAACTGAAGAATGAAACAGTGTTCCAATTATACCCTTATATTTGATGAGAGTCAGTGGTTCACAAGCAATGAATAAAACTCATGATTCATACATTTTCTAATGTTGCCTTGCTTATAGTAGATTCTGAAGCACTTCCAGTTCTCCCAAACTATCATTTCATTCAGTTAATCCCAGCAGTTTATTGCACTAATGGTAAAATCATGTAGACACTGATGTTCCTCATCAGTTCTGGTTCAACAGAAGCTCCACAAAGTTAACTTGAGTTGATGCAGCATCATTTCAAGAATCGGAAAGGTCTCTAACTCTTGTCTCTTTACAGAAATCTATTTTTTATATTTGTATATGACAGCAGCAGTAGCCAGCTAAGCCGAACACACAAATAGCTGAGTGAGCAGGAGGCTTGTTGACTACTTAAAAAGCCGTAATACATTCGCCTGGTAATTGTGGCTGAGTGAAGTGATGACAAAATATTATCAAACTGTGCTTTTGTGTATGTGTTTTTTTTTTCTGAATTCAGTTTGCAGTAGGTTATGGCCTTAAAGGAGGTTTACATGACACTAATGGTTTCTGATACAAAGGCGTTATCACTTTTATATCGTGTTACTGCATATATGATAAGAGGACAGAGTGTTGCAGTGAGGAGCAGAACCAGCTTGCATCAATCTAAGGGTTACTGTTTTATAACACAATATAAAAACAACTAAGAATAGGGTTTCCATACAAGTCCATGGGACTGACGTTCAGTCTGCAGTTAAGAGTTATATTTCAAGAGCATAACCTAATGGCATTCCCCCTTTTTTTTTTCTATAAGACATCTTCTCCAGTTTAGTTGGTCCTCACAAGAAAGGGTTCTGACTGCTCTGCGCAGCCTGTGATCCCTCAGTGCTGGCTGATGAGAAGGGTAACAAGGGCTCAGGGAGGGCCACCGGCAAGCCCAGACCGGGCTGGGTGGGGTGAGTGAGTGACGAGGGGAGGCTGGCAGGCTGGTGGCTCGTAGGCAGGGGCAAGGAGGCACTGTATGGAAGAGAAGCGCCCTGGGGAGCTGAAGAGATGGAGCCGGAGCCCATTTGATTCAGAGTCAGTTTGGGCTGCTCAGCTTGGAATGGATTGTTGGGTGAAGGAGCACTTAGGCCTGGACAGGAAGACACAAAAAAAACCGACAAGTTATTGAAATCCAATTTATCAACACAGCTGATTTAAGTTAGGAGTTTCAACTCGTCTTTCCCTCTGGGTGTTGCATCTACAGCCAACAAAACAAATACCTGATAAGAAGGGGTTCAAGGTCTTGGGTGGAGGATTGGCTGGGATCAAGCTGTCCAGGTTTACCAAGGAAGCCGCTGTGGGGCCAAGGAAGGCCTCAGGTGTCCGGCATTTACGTGGGCTGGGGGCGGCCAGGCTTTCTCCGAGACGTGACATGTCAAATAGCTCAGGGCTGCCCTCCCTTCCCCCATTCAAATTCACCTGACCTCCATCCATGGCTTCATCGAAAAGATCCCCATCTAACAGCAGGAGAAAAAGACAAGTTCTGACATTGCAAGTGTGTGGGATGCACAGGATGACAATGACTATGTTTACATGCACAAAATATTCCAGTTTTGCCCTTATTCTAAAAAGAGACAATATTCCTAATAAGCTGTTTACATGGCTAATGAAAATGAATTTTCTATTAATATTCCCATTTACATGCATCCCTGCATACTGCGATTAACATGCCCTCATAGGACTTTTCCATCAGTGGCAGAGTTGTTCAACCGTACAAACACAGCCTCCCTCTTTCATTCCTTCAACCACCTTTTTGAAAAAGTCAATGATGTGATATTTCTGCATACCAAAATATCTGTTAATATCTAAGTCTTTCATAATGTTTAAAAATAGGTGTGTTTTCTTCTGACCAGAACTAATCGCTTTTCTTTTGGGCATGCATCTCTACCCAGCTTTGCAAACTGTTGGCTAGCTGGTTTGTGTACAATGCATCCGTGTCAATGCACAGAGCTGACTGCAAACAGACAAGAGGCCACATGCTGCAAACTGCGATTAAAACCCCAGCTGA